TGAAGAAAGAGCATCCAGGCAGAGGAAGCAAAAGGGCCAAATCCATGAAGAGGACACGGGCTTAGCATGTTTGAGGAGCAACAAGGTCACTAGTGTATCTAGAGTAAATGGAAGAATGGTAAGATATGAAGTCTGAGAAGTAAGATATGAAGTCAATAAAACCTACATTTCATTTTCATTTCTGTTCATCTTAAATTTTATTCCTTAAATCTTTTGTCCTGTTTTTAATAAAGTTTTAAAAATATAAATTTTCTTTGAAGTACAGCTTTGCTTGCATTCTGTCAGGTTCATGGCTATAAGTCATGTCACCATCCCTAAGCTACCAGGGAGGCACAAATAAATAGATTTTAATGAGCACATTGCTGCCCCAGAAAAAATCAGAATTCAGTTAGTAAGGAAGGATGGGAGAATAAATATTGGATAAACTACTAGCAATATCATAAAATCCGATGGACATGGGAGATTTTCTTTCAGATTCCTATGCTATACTGATTGTTACCAAGCATTGTGAAGTAGAAAGATACCCAATTTCTTTTATGAAACTATCCAGAATCTTGTATAAAAATCTGATAAAGAGGGCTGAAAAGAAAAATTATACATTAGTTTAACTTATGAATATAACTATGAAAACTCAAAATACAAACATGTCAATTTTTCAGCACATTAAAAGAATCATCCATAATGATCATGTAGAGTCCATACTATAAATTAAGGGTGTTAATATTAGGAAAGCTTTGAAACACTGGAACATATACAAAGATTCAATAAGAAAAAATATGATAATCATAATAAATAAGAATTTTATAAAGGTCAGCACTCATTTTTTGTTAGAAAAGCAGTCTTAGACAGTAAAACTAGAAAGGTATTTAATGAAATAAAGACAAGGTAACTTCTTTTCAGGTTAAATTTATTCCAGTTCAAAGGACAAAGGTACAGTCCAAATATACCCAGCCTTTTATTCTACTGCTGTGATTAAAACTCATGATGATGGGCATTGGAAAGGTATATAGGTCAAGACTTCTGGACAAGATGGCAGAGTAGGTAAACTCTATGCTTGCTTTCTTCAATGACCATATCAAAATTACAACTAAATTATAGAATAACTATCTTTGAAAATCACCTGAAGACTAACTGAACAGTATTACTATAACTAAAGATGTAAAAATGCAGTCAAGTTGAGACTGGTAGGAGGAGTGGTGATACAGAATGGGCAGGTACCACACTCCCAGTATGGAGATTAAGAATATGGAGGGATATCTTGGCTCTAGAGATACCTCCTGAGGAGTGAGGGGCCCAGCCTCATATTTGGCTCCCCAACTTGGGGCATCAGTTCCTAGAAGAGAAGTCCCCATAATCTGGCTGTGAAAACCAGTTCTCTTGACCATTGTGTCCCAGAGAGAGATTTCTGATCAGAATGGTATAAAACTAGAAATTAATTACAAGAAGAGAACGAAAAACTCCACAAACACATGGAGGCTAAATAATGACTCCAAATCTATGGGACATAGTCAATGTAGTTTGAAGAGGGGAATTCATAGCAATACATTCCTACTTCAAGAAATGAGAAGTCTCAAAAAAATCTAACCTTATACCTAAAGGAACCAGGAAAAGAGAAACAAAGCCTAAAATGAATAGAAGGAAGAAAAGAAAGATCACGCAGAAATGAAATATTAAGGGGTTGCCCAGAAATTGAATTATTTACAGATGACATGATACTGTATAGAGAGAACCCTAAAGATTCCACACAAAAAAACTATTAGAACTAATAAGTGAATATGGTAAAGTAGCAGGATACGAAATTAATATTCAGAAATTATTTCCATTTTTATATGCCAATAATGAGCTATCAGAAACAGAAATTAAGAAAATGATCCCATTTACAATTGCATAAAAAATAAAAACCAAAATACATAGGAATAAATTTAACCAAGGAGGTAAAAGATCTGTATTCAGAAAATTGTAAGACATTGAGGAAAGAAACTGAAGAAGATAACATGTAAAAAGGATTTTATATCATGCTGATGGATAGGAAGAATAAACATTGTTAAAATGCCCATAAGCAATCTACATTTTCAGTGCAACCCCTATAAAAATACCAATGATATTTCTCACAGAACTAAAAAAAAGTATTCCAAAAGTATATATGGAAACACAAAAAAATCCCTAGGTAGCCCAAACAATCTTGACAAAGAACAGAGTTGGAGGCATCACACTACCTTATATTAAACTATACTATAAGTAGCTGTGGTAATCAAAACAGCATGGTACTGGCATAAGAATAGACATATGGATCAATGGAATGGAATAGAGAGTCAGAAATAAACCCATGCCTATATGGTCAATCTATGAAAAAAGAGGCAAGAATATACCATGAGGTAAAGATAGTTTCTTTCATGTGGTACATATGTACAATGGAATATTACGCAGCCATAGAAAGAAGGAAATCTTGCCATTTGAGACAACATGGATGAACCTAGAGGGTATAATTCTAAATGAAATGAGTCAGGCAAGAAGACAGTTACCATATGACTTCATTTATATGTGGAATCTAAAAACAAAAACAAAAACAAACAAACAAAAACACACCAAAATAAACAAAACAAAAACCTCATAGATACAGAGAACATTTTGATGGTTGTCAAATGGAAGAAGGAATGGGAGATGGTTGAAAAAGGTTAAAGGGATTTAAGGAGTAATAAAAATAGTCACAGAGATGTAAAAAGTACAGCATAGGGAATCTTTATACTAGTATATTCTATATATATAAAAACCAAGTGACCAGAACAACCGGTCACTGTGACACTCACTGAGGTGGCCATCCGGCCTGATGGAGGCCCCGATCGCTGCCCTCACTCTGGCTGGCCCCAATAGGCTCTGGCTCAGATTAACCCCACAAATTCGTGCACCAGGCCTCTGGTATTGTCAATAATATTGTAATAACTATATATGGTCATATGGGTACTAGACTTATTGGAGTGAGTACTTATTGGAGGTATATAAATGTCTAATCATAATGTTGTACACCTGAAACCAATATAATATTGTATGTCAAGTGTAATTGAAAAATAAGTAAATAAATAAAAAGCTTTGTTATATATAATGTGCTATCTAAATGTGAATTATAATTTTGATTTAATGCTCTTTGGAATAAATTTCAACTTTAAATAACAAGCAATTATTGTGAAGTCCCAATAGCTTTGATAAATACTCAGCTTTACAATTTTCAATGAGTTTTCCAAAGGTGGCATAATAATGTAGGGTTCATTTTTTCCCATGAGTGCAATTTCGTTTTCTTCATCTTGATATTGCTTTACTGAGAAAATATAACTTTTCTAATCCTAGTTGACAAAAAAGAAAGAAAGAAAGGAAGGAAGGAAGGAAGGAAGGAAGGAAGGAAGGAAGGAAGGAAGGAAGGAAGGAAGGAAGGAAGAAAGGGTGTATAAAAAGTACCCTTTAGACAGCTAGAGGGGGAAAGAATGCAACTGATGCCAGTAAACAGACATACACACCTCCTCTTACATATGCTTGACCTTGTTTTCAACAGAAACCTGTGACCACAAAATACAGAGTGGGGCAAAAGTAGGTTTCCAGTTGTGAGTATGCAAAACTCACTTTATTCTTGTATTATTATTTATTAATTATTGTATTTTTTATATGAACAACTGTAGACCTACTTTTGTCCAACCCTGTATACTTTTAAATAATATCTGAAATAGTATGGCACAAGACTATATAATGTATTCCCAGTCACTTCTGGAAATTTCTCTGACATGTACCACAGAACACTTTCCTCCCTTCTTCCTTAGCTTAGATCTTTTCCACTTGACACTGTATTATTGCCAGTAGCTTTAGTTAGGTAGATTGCTGGGCACACATATTATGCACTCAGGGAAAACAGCACCCATTGTTTCTTATTTTTGCTACTTGAGTATAAAAATGAGGATACTTCTAATGTTGCCTTTGAACTTTTAGAATTAAGATTATTTTATAAAATCAAATTATCTACTTCTTTGTGATGTGTATAATATGTATTTTCTCTAATAATTATTAGACAAAGGTTTAAATTTTAAAATCATGGTAATGAATGTTTTATACCAACTTTTAAGCCTTTTTTTTTTAAACCAAAGTTATATTAAGAAATACATTTTATAAAGTGACCAAGTACACACAAACATTTTATATACAGTATATATCTGATTATAATAAAAATTTCACAAAACTTACCAAGGAACTATGAAAAATACTCTGATATCTGTTTTATTTCATTTAAAAATTTATATCAACCCAACTGATTGACTTGCTTAGATTATGCTTTTCAGCAGTTTCATAGTTCTTTTGATGGTAAAACAAATAAAATTTCTAGAATTCAAGAATTTAATTTCGAAAGATGAGAATACATTGCTTTTTAGAAATATGTCCTAATTTTGTTGTAAATATTAACTTTTCATTTATAGGCAGTATGTTTGCTTTTTGAAAAAAAAATATTTTGGTTAACCCTCACCAGAAGATATTTTTCCACTGATCTTTTAGAGGGAAAGAGAGAGGGAAAGACAGAGAGAAACATCAATGTGAGAAACACATCAATTGGTTGCCTCCTGCATGAGCCCCAGTCAGGGTGGAGAGGAGCCTAGAACCAAGGTAATGGTGCCCTTGACCACAATTGAATCTGGGACCCTTTGTTCTATAGGCCAATGCTCCAGCCACTGAGCCAAACTGGCTGGGGCTAGGCAGGATGCTTTTGGGGCTAGTTGCTAGTTTTTCCTCTCACTTCTAGGAGGGTGGTAAGGTAAGAATTTTTTAAATGGTGATTTCTTTTCTTTCTGCAGCTCTCGTGTGAATATAAATTTAGTGCATCATTAAAATAAGGACCTCACCAATTGGAAGTTACAAACTTTGCCATCAGCATACCTTATTATCATTTTTTTTTTTTTTTTGGTCTGATTCCCTCAAAGAGTGGAAACATCTTTTTTTCAAGTTGCTTTTGTTACATAGTTCAGAAAATGGCTGATAATGACTTTGGAAAAAAAATCGCCGAGTGTCCCAACTGTTCATCTACTTCTCAGAAAGGCGCATCTCCTGTCAGTCCCAGTAAAACAAGGTTTATTCCAGCGTTAGTGGTGGAAACGTCAGATACATCAAGCTCTTGTGAGCCAGACTCTTCAAGTTCACTGGACAGAAAAAAACAACAAATTATTAAATATAAGGCCGTGGCAAAAAATGTGGTAAATATCAAAAATTCTATTTCTGAACACAAGTCGAAATCCCATGTCTAATCCCATCCCTAGCTTCATTCATGGGCCATTGTCAGCTAAATTACTGCCTTCTTCACTATTAAAGAGACATTACTTTTTTACATAAGGGGTGAGCAAAGTTGGTTAGTACTTTCTTTTATGATATTTCCAACACTGCCCAAATTAATTATTTCCCAGGATTATGAATAATTTGAAATGTTGTTCCAGTTTATCTTTAAAAGTGGCTTATATAGAAATAAATTGGTTTTCAAGTTGAATTAAATCTGAATTTAGGGATACTTTTTTAAAAATGCAGAGTGACCCTTTTGGTTGTAGTTAAATATAGGGTAGTTACTTAAGACAATTTCTGGTTATTTAGATGGAATCTCAAACATACTCTCCAAAATCAATTTGCATTATTTACAACAGTCTATATCTACCCAGTTGGACTAGTTTGGGTATACTCAACTTTCTAGAAAAGAAGCAGTGCGCAAAGTTTTACTTGAAATAGCACAGCTTTGGAGACAGAAAGCAGTGAATTTAAGAAAAGTTAGGTTCTCAGTCCTTGAAGTTGAACCTTTTTCAAATTCTCCCCTTAAACTGTTCTTTCCTGATTTGTATGGCAGTATAATTATTGCCATATAGGTGTCTCTGAATTAGTTGTTACTGAGTGAGCTGTTAATATGTTAAAATTCAAAGCATATTTTGTGAATATCTGGCCAATAATTTTTTTTTATGTGTAACCTATTTGAGGTGATATGTTTTGAAACAAGAATGATTGAGAAAGCTGTGGAGTTGCCTTCTCACAATTTCAAAGAATCATTGAGTAAGTTATGATTTATCTGCCATGCAGGTTATAATGTACACTTGCTTGGATTTAGGAGATTAGATTAAGTGACTTCTTAAGGTCTCTTTTAGCCTAATGAGCCAATACATTATATAGGGTTTTGAATTTGAAAAAGACAGTGAATTATATTGTATGCAATAAATATCATGGCACACATTAAACATTTGTCATATAATCTAAATTAAGGTTCTTACTTTCTCAAGTGTGTTATATCTTAATTACTTTTTTTTTTTTTAATAATTCCTTTTTTGGGCAAAGCCCTTAAGATCCTCAAATATAGAGAGAAAGACATCTCAACAACAATGGGGTCGGGGCAACGTTTCGGAAGTAAAAGTTCCTCACATCAGGCTGGACGATGGAGCTGCTATTGAGGTATTTAGAAAGCATAACGAAATGACTAAGAAGTTTCAGGTTTCTTCTTGTCAATGGTTAAAGGCAAAAAAAAAAAAAAAAAAAAAAGATTTAAAAACAAGTCTCTAAGGAAGGGAAGAAAAGGAAAGGGAAAATTTACCATTTTCAAGTATGTCAAGGTCTTTACTTCAGAAAATGCACACTATTGCATTCATAAAGGACCAAATGGACTTTAACCAAAATGGAGGTATTAAATGGGAACATTTAATACCTCCATTTTGCCTCTTGCCTGTTGCTGAGGGCAATTGTGGAGTCTTGGTGTAGATCTCTTTAAAATGTAGAAAGAGAGAGGGAGAGACCAGATGACTTGAGGTGGTTTGGCTGTTCACTTCCTTGGGGCCATTTTCTGTATCCTCAGGTTGGATGAATACCAACATTGTCTTCCTAGGATTCTAATTATAACATACGAATATGAATTAAATTAGTACCACTTTAGAAATTAAATGTGTTATTTTAACATCGGGTTAAAGGAACTTCAGCAAGAACAACTGCAAGAAGAATTTTGCATTGATGTTAACTTTAAAAAATGTTTTAAGAGATATTTGGCAATGTACTCAAAGTGATCAGAAAAACTTCCTGAGAAATTCTGACTTGAAAAGTTTAAATCTCCCCTTTTAAAGAATTTTTAAAACCTACAAATTTACTGAGTTTTAAATTTAGTCATAAGAGCTTTTATAAAATAAAAATGTGTTTGTTGTGAAAAATTAGGAAACTAAAAATAGAAAAGTGGAAAAAAAATCATGAGCCAGAGATAATTAGTTTTAACATTTACCACCTCTACTTTATTTTTATGCATGTATAAGTCATCCTATTTTTTTTCAGTTTTGTTTTAAATTATGAAATATTCCAAGTATATACATATTTTTGACAAATAACCTTAACTGATACAGTTAAGGCTCTATTTAATGAATAGGCTCACTTTGAAGATTTTAAGCATTTTGTTAGAGTATAAAAAAGGTAGTTCAATAATCCCAAATTCCACTTCCCAGTGATAAGTGCTCAATATTTAAATGAACATCTTTCTAGACATTAATGTGAGACACTCCCTCATACACACATTCTCAACATTTTCACAATGTGATAATATCATGCATCTTTTCACACTCTATTCTGTATTGTGGACTTGCTCTATGTAAAAAAAAATCTATATTACTATTTTAGTAGCATCCTCTTAAAATTAGTACAAACAAGAAGTCATTTTCTTATTTTTATCACTGTGTAATGATATTAAAATAGGTAGTTGAAGAAAAAGATTAATTTCTGGAAAGATGTTCATTATTTTTTAAAAAGCACAGTTGGGCAGTTGGGTTGTTTCTCAATCCAGTCCTCACTTTAAAGAGTCTTATTTAAACAAGACTAATATTTGGTGTCTAAGTTGTGGTTCTATATATTTAGAAAAAAATGAGTTTAGTTTTTAAAGGTTAATGAAAATTGGGGAAATGGTTATGGAGTTGAGATTATTTTGTTCTGTGGGGGGGGGATTTAAATAATTTTACATAACATATAATTGGGAGTGGCATCTATATATATAAAAGCCTAAGTGACCGAACAACTGAATGACTGAACGACCAGTCAACTGGTCAGTATGACACACACTGACCTCCAGGGGGCAGACTCTCAATGCAGGAGCTGCCCCTTGGTGGTCAGTGCGCTCCCACAGCCAACCTCCCATGGCTTCTCCCCCTGGCTGGCCAACCTCCCATGATCCCAATTGCCAGCCAGGCCAAGGGACCCCTCTTGTGCACAAATTTGTGCACCTGGCTTCTAGTATAAATATAATAAAAGTAAAATTTTTGTCTTATTTTAATCATCTTAATTTTCCAACTTTAATTGTTGCTATAGTGGGGGAGGAAGGAGAGCCAAAATAATTATAAGTCCTCAGAAAGCAGTGTCTTGGGTACAGGTTGTGCCCTGAGTCTAAGAATCTTTGTGTATAATATTCAAGACCATAAATCTGGAGCTCCTCCCAGGGTTTAACTTCACATACCCAGTCTATCATTCTCTCAAACATGTATGTGTAGGAGGATTCTGGTTGGCCTGCTGACTGGATTTACTGATTCATTCATTTATCAGTTCACTAATTCATTCCATGTTTGCACTGCTATCCCTTTGGAATGCCTTTCTTGGATTATTGGTGTGGGGAGGAGGAGGAGGAATCCTTTTTTTTTTTTTTTTTTTTTTTTTTCCTTTGTTTCCTTACGTGCCAGTCTCAGAAACCACCTCTTTCATAATGTTTTCCTTTATTCTCCCAGTGTTTTAGCTCTACTCTCTGGCCCCAACATCATTTTGTATTTTTAAAAAAATATATTTTATTGATTTTTTTACAGAGAGGAGGAGAGAGGGATAGAGAGCTAGAAACGTCAATGAGAGAGAAACATCAACCAACTGCCTCTTGCACACCCCCTACCGGGGATGTGCCCACAACCAATGTACATGCCCTTGACCGGAATCGAACCTGGGACCTTTCAGTCCGCAGACCGATGCTCTACCACTGAGCCAAACCCGTTTCGGCATCATTTTGCATTTTTATTTTAACTTAAGACTTTCTGACTTAAGAATAATCTTGTCTCTTGAGGAGATTACAAATTCTGAGAAAACAGAATTATGTTTTATTCAACTTTGTAGCCCCCAAAGTGTATATTACAAAGAAATACCTAAGGAAAGTCTAATATGTTGAAACTGAATATTTCCTTTTTTCCCCTTCCCTTTTCTCTTCCCCTTTCCCTTCCCCTTTCTAGACATTAATGTGAGACACCCCCCATATACACATTCTCAACATTTTCCCATTCCCCTTCCCTCCCCTCCTCTCTCTTCTTTTCTCTCACTCCTTATTTTCTTTCTTTCCTTTTTCTTCTTTTTATTTTTTCTTCCTTCCCTCCCCAGCACTTTCCTCCCTTCCTTCTCCCTCCCTTCTATCCTTCTCCTCTCCCTACCCTTTCTCCCCCATACATTAAAAATGAATATTTTACCTACAAGGTTTCAGGGTAGGCTTTTTAAAAGATACAAAAGAAACAACTTCTTAAGTCGCTTCTAGACCATCTTGGAGAAAATTGAGTGAAAATGTAAGCAAGGGAGTAATAATAGTGTTTAAGGGCCAATGTGTACAAGCACAGTAGTGCAGAATTAGGGAAGCCCTTCATGAGAGAGATAAATAATTAGTTGGGCATTGAATCTTCTTTTACTAAAGAAAGGAAAGTAAGCAGTAGAAATATGAAGACTAGCAACTAACTGACCTATTGATGGTGAAGGTGAAGGTGATCACACAGAGATAGAGAAGCAGTTCTAGGGAAGACTGGCTGCTGACCCAGCAGAGGTGTCACCTAGCGGCATTACCTCAGCTGTTCAGAAACTCTCAAGATCCAGAAATTCTTGTTAGCTTGGATGAGGGAGATTGACTCCTCCCAACAAATTCACAAGAAATGAAAGCGTAAACAAGTGACCTGGTGTCAACAAGACCAGTACATTCTGTGTTTGTAGCGTAGTTGAATGATCAGCAGAAGGATTCTTGGTCTGGATAGTGTTACTACAGATACATTTTATTTTTGTCTCTATGCTGATTTATATAAAAATATCTGTCACATATTGCTTTTTCTAAAAAGGAATAAAACAACAAAGATTCTTAATAGAAATAATGAAGATAGAGAAAAAGTGTTACTTAATAAACAAGAAAGCATTGTTTAATGGTTAATATGTGTTAATTTTATGGTTTAGCTCTCATATTTTTGGGATAATTTGGGGGATGAATGTATTTTATACACACATATGAAATAATATTTCCATTGTTTTTTCTTATGAATATATTTTATTATTATAGTTTGTAAGAGATTAATTTTTATGCTTTTGAGGTTTTGCACCTTTCCCCATTAGGATTTTTATGGTTTTCCTCCAAAGGACATTTAATGAAATCCATCAAAGCTTATTTTTGTTTAATTAAGATGTATCTATTACTATTGAGGCAAATATCGATATATGGTGTCTTCAATTTGATTTCACCCTAGAGCAGAATCTCTTTTCCCTTGAGTAGATATCTGTCAGTATTAGTGTTTATTTTTAATACCTAATGAATGGCAGAGAGAGACAAAAGAACTCTTATTTTTTATCCAGAATATATATACATTTGGAAGAATATTGGGAAAAGGGAGCTTTGGAGTGGTCATTGAAGCTATAAACAAGGAAACAGGAACTAAGTGGGCAATTAAAAAAGTGAACAAAGAAAAGGTAAGGCTTATTCTCAGCATCATACTGAGTGCAGTGCCAGGTGGGGTTGGGTGGCAGTAACGTTTTTACATTAAAACACCTGCTTCTGACCCTGTGGGCCAGGGTCAGGGCTGGTCCCCGGGGTCTGTGGGCATTTCTCTAGCCTTCTGGGAAAGGACCAGTTCTAAAACTTAGGTAGGCAAGTGTATCTGGAAAAAGCAAACAAAAGGATAGCTAACATAACCAATATGTTACCAGTGTGGTTGGATGTAAGGTCTGATTGTCAGTATGTATTAATGTAGGGCTACTGCTTAGAGATGCCTTAGCCAGAAATGAGTCCTGGGACTCTGCCCTACGTTTCTCCTGTTCTCTCCTTTCCTTTGATTTCCCATTTCCTCATTGTTAGTTTATTCTTCATCCTACCTGCTCTTTTCATTTGAACCACTTCCTTCCCAACTATCTACTATTCTATTAACTATATCCACTGTAGTCCTCACTGGATTTCTCCTGTGCTGGAGAATGACGAGACTTCTCTTTAAGGGAGAATATAAGTCCATTTTACCTATGCTTGGGGAAAAATTTGTGTTTCTTTTCTCTTTAAAGCAATTGTCATGTGTGTTGCAATTGTTCTCACTTGTCTTTTATTTTATTATTTTTAAATTAACTTTTAGATAGAGAGGACTGGAGAGGGAGGAAGGAAGAAAAACATCAAGATGAGAGAGAATTATTGATTGGCTGCCTCCTACACACCCCACACTGGGGATTGAGCCTGCAGCTTGGACATGTGCCCTGATCTGGAATCCAACAGGCAGCCCTTCAGTGCAAGGGAAGACCAACTGAACCACCCCTGCCAGAACTTTTCCTTAGATTTCTGATAATAAATGTTACAATTATGAAATGAGATAATAAGTGTTTTTTTTATGTATTCCTTAAAACAAATGATAGCAAATTACATAGCATTTCTCCTTAAAGATTAATAAAGTACATGGTAAATCAATACAGCAGAAAATTTTAACAACTCTGAAAAGAAGAAATATTTTCAATTGCATAAACTTATACATCTGTTGGATTCCAGATCAGGGCACATGTCCAGGCTGCAGGCTCAATCCCCAATGGGGGTTGTGTAGGAGGCAGCCAATCAATAATTCTCTCTCATCTTGATGTTTTTCTTCATCCCTCCCTCCCTCTCCAGTCCTCTCAATCTAAAAGTTAATTTAAAAATAATAAAATAAAAGACAAGTAAGAACAATTGCAACACACATGACAATTGCTTTGTGAATGAAGCTCTTTGTGTCTTTTTAAACACTATGGAACAAACAAGCACGATGACAAACTCACAGTGGCTATGTTACAGAAGACTGGAGAAAAAACAATGCCCACAGAAATGGAGTTACACTGCTTATTACACTGGCAGGCCCAGAGAAAGATTTCAAATTCTGAGCAAAAACTTGGAGGAAACTTTCCCTATTTATATCTTTTCACCTCTTTGTCTCCCAAATAAGGGTTTTTCCGGTCCCCTTTGCAAGTTCTTAAAGAGCCCCATTTGCTGGGGCCTTGAGACCTCAACTAAAAGGCTGGCTTGGCGCCAGCACTGATAACTCAATCTGGGGATGGTTTATGGCCTCTCTAAAATGGAAAATTTTAATAACAACTAACTGTTATAGTGAGGTATGTAGTAGTGACATTCCTATGTAAAATCTCTGTCTCATTATTTAAGGCTGGGAGCTCTGCTGTGAAGTTACTTGAACAGGAGGTGAACATCCTAAAAAGTGTGAAGCATGAGCACATCATACATCTGGAACAGGTGTTTGAGACGCCCAAGGTAATGCTGCAGCAGGTCTGCATTTTAAAAGGAGTAATTATTACAAAATGAACCCCATTCCCTTCTGAAGAAATCCCTTTGAGGCACCTTTGCTCGAGTCCTTGGCGCCAGTTTGTCACTGAAGATGGAGGAGAGTATCCTGGAGGGCTTTCAGTATTGATTGTATAATTAGGTGCCTGATGGTTAGATTGATGACTTTAGTGATATTTTTAGGTGGCATATTGAAAATGAATGTTTAAAATGGAAACAACAACAACAAAAATAATGAAATAAAATAAAATAAGATTTAAACTATACCATATAAAATCAAATGATGATTAGATCTTCCTTAGAGATGGTTTTATTTTGCGTTGATTTCTCCATTAGAGTCTCTTGGATTATTGTCATAATTTTGTAGTAAAGTTAGTGTGGGCATTTTTTGGCACTCAGTAGAAGATATTTTGTCATCTGTGTCTTAGCAACATGTGTAATCTTCCTTCTTCCCCAGATGCTGCCATTCTCTTGGAATGCCTGTGATTTTCATTGAGAGTTGTTCTGAAGCCTGGGGATCTGTTATTCTGCCTCCAGTGCTTGTGGGCTTGGGTGATTCTTAGTTTGGAGGCAAATAATTTAGTGATTAGGCACAGGGACTCTGGGGTCTGATTACCTGTGCTTTTGAATCCTGGCTCTGTTATTGGCTATGAGACTGTGACAAATTACTCAACCTCTTTATACCTCAGTTTCCTCATCTGTAAAAAAGATTTAATAATAGCATATACTTCACTTAGTTGCTATGGTTTCTTGTGAATCCAAATGCTCTCCAGATTGACAGGATTATTTCTAATAATTATAAAAAAAACTTTAAAAATTTTATTGCTATAACTTTTATCAGTATACATATTTGAAATTGATATCAATTATATTGTAAATTAATGTAACTGTTCCTTCTAAATAGTTCACTGACTGACCATCTCATGTACCAATAACCTCTGCAGTGCTGTCAGTAGAAAAAATATGGCCTTGTTAAAAAACTTATGTGTGTTAGACTTTGCAGAATAGTTACTTCTGGAATTCTAAAGCATCCTCGAGTTTAGTGAATCAGAATTTTGACTATGAAAGGAAAAGGTGTTAACCTTCTCTTCTTGTTTTTCATGCTTGCTGATTGAACACAGAAATTTCATTTCTGGTGATTATAGAATAGAATCAGGCCCCAAAATCTTAAAAATAGCAACAAAAATCTAGCATCATAGAATAGAATGGAGATGGAAAGAGTATTCTGTGACTGAATAGCAATAGGTGTGAAAAAGACTTGCATTTTAGTTGACTGGATCTTTTTTACTCATTAGATGACTTGAATGACTGTTGAAATACCTAAAGTGATCTTAATGCATCAACAGAAACAGCAAATATGAAAGAGGCATTTCTTTTTATTTTAAGTATATTTTATTGATTTTTTGCAGAGAGGAAGCGAGAGAGACAGAGTCAGAAACATCGATCAGTCACCTCCTATACACCTCCCACTGGGGATGTGCCCATAGCCACGGTACATGCCCTTGACTGAAATTGAACCTGGGACCCTTCAGTCCGCAGGCCGATGCTCTATCCACTGAGCCAAACCGGTTAGGGCTGGAAGAGACATTTCACCTCTGGCTTTTACACTCGTAGCCCATTAGTCACTAAGTCCCACTGTTTCTTTCTCCTAGGTATCTTTCACATCTTTTCCTTCTTCCCCTTCTTGTCACTCTTCTGTGCCTCACATCTGCCCTCTGCAAACAGGTCAGCATGCCACGGTGTGCAAGCCACCTCTGGTGCGTGCCTACTTTATGGCACATTAGCTAAGGTTCTTTTATATTTTTAAATGGTTCATGACCTGGATATTATGAAACTGAATTTTCAAAGTCCATAAATAAAGTTTCATTCTATTGTTTATGCTATAACTGCAGAGTTGTGTAGCTACAAAAGAGATCGTATGGCCCACAAAGCTGCAAGTATTTCTTGTCTTGTTCTGGCCTTTACAGCAAAAGCTTGCTGAGCCCTGCTCCACATTTCTGCTAGAAGGTTCATTTAGAAATGCAGAATTGGTCGTAGCATACACCTTTCCCCCACCCCAGCTTCAGAATCCTCAGTGGCTCCTGTCTGCATATGGGGAAAAGTTCCAAATTCCTCTTCCTGTGATATATGAGACCCTATAACCTGGCCCCTGCCTGTTCTTTCGGCCTCCCCTCATCACCACTCCACTCTCCTCTCCCCTACCAAACTCCCAGAGCTATTAGCACTGAGATATCTGGTGTTCTTTTAACAGCCAGTGTCATTTCAACTTTTGTGGTCTTTGCAAATACCACATGTTCTGCCTGTTCTTGTCTACTGTCTCAACCCCATATTGCTATCTAGGCCACCAGACCTGCCTTTAGTGTCACCTCCTCAGAGAGCATTCTTTCAGCAGAGGCTTCCCTCCTCTGTAATCTCCCGGCATTTGGGGCCTGCCTCTTCTGCCGACACTTATCACCTGATTTTTAGTTTTAACTACACCGTGAGCGCCTTGAGGATAAAGACTATGTCTTATGCCTCCATGTCCCTCTATGATAGTATCCTGACAGTATCTTGTACGTGATAGACAATAAATATTTTCCAGATATAATGATGATTAAGAGTGTGATCTTAGCCGGCCAGTGTGGATCAGTGGTTGAATGTTGACCTATGAACCAGGAGGTCATGGTTCAATTCTCAGTCAGGGCACATGCCTTAGTGGCAGGCTCAATCCCCAATGGAGGGTGTGCAGGAGGCAGCCAGTTAATGATTCTCTCTCATCATTGATGTTTCTATCTTTCCCTTTCTCTCAATAAAAATCAATAAAATTACATTTTTAAAAAAGAGTGTGATCATACTTTTATTATATATGTAATCTATAACATGTTTAAGATCCCCACCTATATAATTTGCTCTCTCTTGCTTTTTATATATATAATGTCAGAAAATGTACCTTGTGATGGAGCTTTGTGAGGATGGAGAACTCAAAGAAATTCTGAAGAAGAAAAGGCATTTCTCAGAGAATGAGACCAGATGGATCATTCAGAGTCTCGCATCAGCGATAGCCTATCTGCACAATAACGGTAAGGGCAGGGTCACCAGCCACTGACTCCACGAATGCAGGCTCACATTTATTTCGGGGTAATTGTCTTCAGGATTTGTAGTCACAGAAATATGTCTACTAGTATGGGAGATTTTATTTAAAAACTAGTGTTTCGGTGCACAGATTTGTGCACATTGAACGGAAATTAATAAGAAGAAATTAATTTTTTATCAACAACATAACCCACAATCGAAGGTAGGATTGCACGGCGCCCCCCCACCCACCCCCAACCCCTGCTCCGTAAGGAACTGGGCCCCCTACTCTCTGGTTCCAAGTGTGTCACTGGAGAACCGCAGCTTGGCAGCTCCTGTGTCGAGTGTCTGCCCTCTGGGGGTCGGATGGTTGGATGGTCGCTTAGCCTTTTATGTATATAAAGATCTTTTCATTTTTAACTTCATTTATAGATATATATTTTAATGAGAAAAAAGGCAGGCATACAATTACATTATACATGGACAAGGATAAAGTTAATGAACGTTTCCATTCAACAGTTTGAAAAGCAGCTATTATTCTCAAATCAAAAGTAGACAAATCAACAATAAAATGAAATTTCTAAAAATTTATATATTACTAATTTTAAAATTAAATATTCTCAAATTTTGTTTTTGTTTTTTTGTTTCTTAGAGCCATTTTAGGTTCATAGAAAAATTGAGCAACAAGGGGATTGGGAGAGATGAGGGAGTCAAAGAGAATGGCTCCTGGAGGTTAAAACGTGGAGAAGAGGGATCTGAACATAAGGGGAGTGGGACAGGGCAGAATTATGCTTGGCCCATCTCAAATATTTCAACGGTGGATGTTAATTTGTCAAATATATTTATTTGTTGTATTTGTGTCCCTTCTATTTTTCCATTCATTTCATTTGATTTGTTGTCTATTTTCTTGGTAGATATAGTACATAGAGATCTAAAACTGGAAAACATAATGGTTAAAAGCAGCTTTACTGATGCTCACAATGAAATGAACTTAAACATAAAGGTAAGACATTAGAAATGGTGGTAAATATTTGCCTATAAACAGTTTGATAGCAAAGTGGCAAAGTACATCCCCTTTTTAGACACATTTTAGAAGCTTTGAGCAGTCAGAAAATAAATGACTGGTGCTAAAAAAATAAAATTCACAAAAGAGGTTATAACTGACAGGAATAATTTTGCAAGTTAAGTGGTACTGTTGAATTTTTTTTAAGTACATGTTCATTTGGATAGTTCTAAATCATTAGTTAATAGCAAGCAAACAGATGCTCTGAATTGTAATTAATTTCAAAGTTATGCCTGGTAATGTGATGTAAATGTGTTATAGATTTAGAAAAAAAAACCACACCTTGGCTATGCCTCTGATACCAAATTAATGCTAAAGTCTGTATTTCTCACTGAAAATCTTCCCAGTATTAATATTTATATCCTAAGCACAGTTAGTGTGCCAAGTGTTTATTCTTGAAGATTTTATTCAAATTAAGTGTTCCTTAATGTCAAATAAATGATAGGATACATTATTTATTACTTAGCACTTTAATAATGGCTGCTTTCAAAATAAATGAATGTGTTAATTTAGGAATAAAATGTGGATAATGCACTCTGTTGCAGATGCTAAATCCCTGTAATAGAAGTAGTTTTAACTACATGGTTGTTCTCCCTGAGTAAATGTCCTTGAGCATTTCCATTGTAAACTTCGGGAAGGCAGGAATTATGTGTGCCTTATTCACTGTTGGTACTTGGAATGGTGCCTGAAACATAGTATGTGCTCAATAAATATTTGGCAGATGAGGAAATAAATGTTCTCCAAAGAATTGAATTGGATCGTCAAAGCTTTTGTTTATTTGATATCTGAATAGGTTTTCTGTGGAGAAAGATGTGTGTGATAGTACTCCAAGTGGGATCATTGTGAAAACTTCCGGGGAAATTGATTAATCTATTAAGAAAAAAATGATATCACGTGTGGACAGGAACTTTTTTCTTACTCCATAAGACACTGGAAACTGCATTCAGTTTCTGTGGACTGAGCCTATCTTTGGTTGTATGGTCAATAAATGTGCCTGTTTTTCTGCTCTCAGCCCAAGGCTGTTCCAATTTGGGAGACGAGACCAAGGGCACATACTGAATACTTAATAACCACATGTTTAATGACCAAGTTTAGATCCAAGTAGAAAGACTGTAGTTGCAGCAGCAAGCCTCCAGTGTATTTGTATTTTTACTGTATTTTTTCCTCTTAGTTTCTTGTTGTTTTTAATAGTGTAGCCATTGTTTCAATTATTATACTCTAGAAACACAAAGGAAATAATAAAGAAAAGATAGTATTTACCAAATATATATATATATATATATATATATATATATATATATATATTTTTTTTTTTTTTTAATAATTACAAAAGGGGAAGTTTCTGTGAGTGCTGGAAAAGATAGTGGTTTGCATTTATAACAGTGCTTTAAACTGAAACATAGCTTGTTAAAAAAATAAATAATAAACACAAGGCCGGAATGTAATTTACAGTGAAAGAACTTTTTAAAAAAATACATTTTTTATTGATTTCAGAAAGAAAGGGAGAGGTGAGATAGATAGAAACGTCAATAATGAGAGAGAATCATTGATCTGCTGCTTCCTGTACACCCCCCACTGGAGACAGAGCCTGCAGCCTGGGCATTTGCCCCTGACCAGAATCGATCCCAGGACCCTTCAGTCTGCAGGCCAACACTCTATCCATTGAGCCAAACTGGCTAGGATGTGAAAGAACTTCTTAAAAATAATTTTTATTTGAAAAAAAAGTTAAATACCTTTTCTCAAGATTTCCCTTCCTACATTAAACTGGTAAATTTAATTACAAGGAATGAACAATCACCAACTTGGGTTTTTTTCCTCAAGAATTGAGAAACCAGGCTTCTCTGTACCAAGTTGCTTCTTCCCAGAGAGGGTGTGTGGGGGAGGGAAAGCGAGGTCCTTATTAGTAATACAAGTAAAGCCCCTCCATCTGGATCCCTGAATTCAATGCAGTGACAAAACCCTACCTTCAGCCCGAGTGACGCGGGGGCAGGAACACGGGTGACTGAGTTTCTCCTCGCAGGTGACTGATTTTGGCTTAGCAGCGAAGAAGCATGGCGGGAGCGTGGCCATGCTGCAGACCACGTGTGGGACTCCTACCTACATGGGTGAGTCATTAGACTATTAAAACGTAGAACAAGTCACGTGGATTAAAACCTGAGCAATTTGATTTTGCCGTCATGACTTAATGGCCCTGCTCGAGCTATGTGTGTGTTTTTTGAAGGTCAAATAATTTCAGCTGTGTAGTGTTTGTCTGATAATTTTTACCTTCAAAGGTGGTAGAGTTTAATGTTTTCTCTGGGCTCTTCTTACAGATGTTTATTTCTCTTAAGTAATCATATCCCAAACTTAATTATTGTTTTTGTTAATTTATGCTAAAATCATGTGTGTGTTTTGCTTTCCATTTTTAAAAAAAATTCAATTTCATTGCCATCAAATAGGTTTTCACAAAGAATACTGATTGAATATATTTGTAAAACAGCAATTTCCCATTTTTCCAAAAATGTATTTTAATTGTTTTACTAAGGTATAAATCATAAAAAATGTGCCATTCAATGATTTTGCATACATTCATGGAATTGTGAACTATCACCACAACCCAGTTTTAGAATAACTTTACCCCCAAAAGTTGACTCATGCTTATTTGCACTCAATCTCATACACACCCCAACACCAGGGATTTGTCTTTTCTGAGCATTCCCTGTAAATGTAGTCTTTTATATCGGGCTTCTTTCCCTTGGCCTCATGTTTCTGAGGTCCATCCTTGTTGTAGAATGTGTCTGTATGTAGTCTGTTCTTCACTAGTATATTGCTAACAGCTATCCATTGTATGATATGCCACAGTTTGTTATCCATTTGTTAGCTTATGAACATGCAGGTTGTTTGGGGCTATTATGAATAATGCTATTATGAACATTCATGTGCAAGTTTTTCTACGGCCATGTGGTTTTATTTTCTTTGTGTAGAAACCTAGGGATGAAATTGCCGGGTCACGTATTATTCATGTTTAAATTTTTAAGAAACTGCCAATGATTTTCCAAAGTGGCTGTAACATTTTACCTTTCTACTAGCAATGTGTGAGGGTTTCCGCTTCTTCACATTCTTGCTGGCACTTGGTATTACCTGTCCTTTTAAATTATAGCCATTCTGGTATCCCATTGTGGTTTCAATTAGCATTACCCTAATGATCAATGATGTTGAATATCTTTTCCTGTACTTATTAGTTATTTATATACATATCTTCTCTGAAGACATGTCTATTCAAATCTGTACCTATTGAGATGATCACATATTTTTTCTCTTTAAATTTATTAATGAAATAATTACATTAATTACTTTTTAAAATGTTGAACCATCCTTGGCATTTTTTAATTTAACCCCACTTGGTCTAAAATACTGCTATATTCAAATTGTCACCACTTTTAAGAGCTATGAGTGGAACTTTCTTTTGTGCTGCCCTTGTCTTTTTTGAAGTTAAGGTTATATTGGCCTTGTTTAAAAAATAAAACATTTTCACTTTTTATATGCTATGAACTATTTAAGTAGTAGAAATTATCTATTCATTTGTTTGATGAAATTTCATCTTAAAACATTTTTGTCCTGGTACCCTTTGGGGGATGAACTTTCTATTATATTACCAATTTATTCTAGGTTATTCAAGTTTTTCACATCTTTTTGAATCATTTTTATAATTTATGCTTTTTAGAAAATTGTTTATTACATTGAGATTTTACTTTTTTCGCAGAAATATGCAATATTTCTTAATATCACTTAAAATTTCTTAATATCACTTAAAATTTTCATATTTTCCTATGTATTTGTGGTTATATCCCCCTGTGGATTCTTAATATTTTTTAAGAAGGCAGCATGATGTAATATTGGTAATATAATCTCTGACATCACCTGGCTAACTTAGAATTTCAGTTCTTTCATTTATTATCTAAATTAACTCTAGGCAAACACAATTTTGCCACAATTTCTATATCATGTAATAGGGATTATGTCACTCATTTATCAAAAAAAATTTTGAGGACCTTTTTTGTGTTAGACACTGGTCTAGATATTGGGAATATAGTGGTGAACAAACATAAAAATGTCATGTTGGCAAAAACATTAAACAAGATAAAAAATAAACTATGGGATATATTAGAGAGCAGTGCTAAGGTTGAAAATAAAACAGGAAAGGGGAGAGGACATATTTAGGATTGTAATAATATCGGGTTGATATGAGAATTAAATGAGAAAATGTACGTAAAGTGATTAGCATAGTAGCATAGTACCTGACACTTGGTACTCAGTTTCAGCTTTTTTTCTTGTCAATTTTTAATTGATCAAATTTGTTAGTGGTTGGGCCAATTTATTGGGATTTCAAAAGACCAGCTCAAATCTAATGTTACTTTGGTTTGCTTTTTCATTAATTTCTGCTTCTTATCATTCTGAATTCCTTTTTTCTACTTTCTTTTGGTTTCTTTTTAACTTCCTAAGCTAAATATTTATTTTCCATCTGTTCATTTTCTAATAAATGCATTTAAGATTATATATTTTTCTTTTGAGTATTTCTTTGTTATATACAGTGTCCAAATTGTACAGACTGTTAAAGTTTCAGTCTTCTTTTTTGGTTTAAGAATTATTTAGAAGTGCTTTTAGAATTTTCTAGGCGTTTACAATGTGTTTGATGCTTATGTGTGTTAGTTTTCCTAGCCTTTTGGTTTCTCTGTCTGGTTTTCCTCATTGTAGTAGCAATTGTGACTTAAAGCTCTACCAACTTTTAGGAATTTTTGTTATGATTGATCACATGATTGTTTCTGAAAATGTTGCATTGGGTATTTAGAAATATCTGCATCCCTGGTTTGTTGAGCATAAACATTTCTCCATGTTTGTCCTAATAAAACCAAATGTGATGTCTTGATGATTTAAACTTTCCGTATTATTTATTTAATTTTGCTTATTGCTTCTCTTGATTTCTAAGAGAGAATATTATTAAAGTCACCTACCAAGATGGGGCTTTGAGAAATTCTTTTTGTACTTTCAGATTTGTAAAAACATCTACTTTAATTGAGATATAATAAAATGTGCAAATATTAAGTATAAAGTTCAGTAAATTTTGAGAAATGCATACACTTGTATAATCACCACCCAAAGAAGATACAGAACATTTCTGTCACTCACAGTTCCTTCGTGTCCCTCTCAGCCAACCCCCATCCAGACCCAGCAACTGCTAATGATTTCTGTCACCTTAGCTTAGTTGTGCTGGTCTAGGACTTTATATAAATTGAATTATACAGTACATATAGTATATATTCTTTTGTCTGTCTTCTTTTGCTCCATGAAATGATTTTAGACATATTAGTAGTTTATTCTTATTTGTTTATTCATTTATTTACTTATTTTTACTGAGTAGTAAAGAGTTTATTGGTGTGTTTTTTTTGCCTGTTCGATGCATAAAGTTTCAAAATTGTTTTATCTTATTTGGGAAAAGGCTACTTTAGATTCTGTTCATATCCTCCTGTTGGCAAAAGACATCTGGTCTGTAGTTATATGGGGAAAATATACCCAGGCACCCTGAGTTTTATGCCTGCTTATTAGTTGTCGACACTGATAACAAATGAGAGAACAAGAGAGAAGACAGATGGTTTGTAGAGCTTTGCTGGCTTTCTAAATGGCTCCTTGGCAGTTACTCTGGCCTCTGCCCCCCACGAGAGCTGTGACGGCAGTGCGGTAAAAATCCCTGGGCACCTGAGGGGACTCTGAAAGATGAGGGCCAGCATCGGGCCCGCTGTGCGTGTGGTGCACCTGTGTGGAGCTTCTTCGAGGATCTAATCCCAGCATTCGCCCTTGTCATAGACACGTGGCCAAGGAGCGGCTGTAATGAGTCCATACTTAACGAGTTTAAGTAGAGTTAGAGTACAAGTTATTCCTTAGAGAAAAATATTAATTAGTAAACTTTCAACGATTTGAAAATGAAATATTCAGTTTGTTAATTATCTATAGTTAAGCCTTTTCTCATTCCTTCTTCAGTTTACTTTTTAACCTTTTTTTGTTGCTTTAAGTTCCTTTAACAAGAGGAAGAGAAAATGAAATTCCATTTGCTTTTAGAGGTTATGAAAAGTGTGTGTGTAGGTGAGGGAGATTGAAACTGTTTTCTAAAATAAAAACACCTTTGTAACTTTAATCAAGTTATTTAAATATCTGAAACTTAGTTTCCTCGCTGACAAAGTGAGTCAAATACCTACCTACCCATTTCACAAGATACTTAACATAATTTATACAAAAGTACATTATAAATGTTAAAGTTCTATTGAAGCATATTTCTTATTTTTATATTTATAACTGTTCTTATCCTTCGTTTTTCCTTAAAGAAAGATATTTGATTCCTGACTGCAGAGGTGAAATATTATATGTGACTTTCTTAAAAACTAGCCATTAAAAAAATCTAATTGTTAAAAAATGTGCTACTTTAAAGTTTAAAAAAGTTCTACTTTGAAAGATTGTTTAAAGGATCCCTATTGTGTGCATGTTGTGCAGTGAGAAGCAGAGTCAGGAGGCCTGTGACTAACTGGCTTTTCGACCAAGTTATGTGGTAGGAGCTCTCTCTCTGTCTCAGTTTTCTCATCTATAAAACATGGGAAATAATCCCTCTTCTGTCATAGGAGTGCTGTGATTTTATTATTATTTTACTAACGTGACATAACCATTTATTGTAGTTTTCTGTGAATCCAGATTTCCACATATTGGGCTTGCTTTAAATTATATCCACTTAAGGCATGCATTTAATTCTATTTTTGGAAAAGAACTGAGATATTGTCGTCTTCTGCTGTAACTACACGATCGTCGCAGTCATTTCTTAACAAGTCCAGCGGAGTGAAGCGCCGTTGTGCACATAGTCATACAGTTTGTGCCATCGTTCCGCCAGAAGCTAATGACGGGAGTGGGGGCACAGCTTCATCAATCGTGGGGACCTGTGCATTATTCATTCAACATCTGCTGTTGGTTCTCTTTCTCCCTGTGGGGGAATAAATCACAGCACATCAGCACATTTCTCACGCTTTGTGTTTAAGCATTTAAAGTCATTGACTGTATTATTGATATTATTTTACTCCTGCTTGTTTGGCAGCCCCTGAGGTGATCAATGACCACGACTACAGCCAGCAGTGTGACATTTGGAGCATAGGTGTCATCATGTACATTTTGTAAGTAGCCCGATAAACGTAGAGTTTAAAATGAATGGTTTCTAGCAGTAGAAATGTGTAGATTTTAAATTAAAACTAAACTATATAGTTTTTAAAAAGTGACTGAAGAAACCATTGGGAAATCCCTCTTAAAGCCCTCTCATTCGTTGTCAGGCACATGTATTAGGTGTTTTTTTTTTTTAATACTATACATTTATAACTTTCAGCTTTGCTTCCTGCCGACCTGCAAATGCAACCATGCACTGTATGATCTGAGCCAAGTGAAAACTTGCCTTAAAACTTTTCTGATCCTTTGCTACAAACTCCTCTTCTTTGTATTTTTCTCAAGAGAGTCACTAAGAACCCATCACTTAGCAGAGGTCCTGGGATCTGGCTCTCGAGCCGCCCTACGCACAGGCCAGTGTGACGGGTGGGCACTAACAGACAGAGGTTCCGCCAGGGTCCCCGTATCGCATAACTTTCTGTCTTTGCTCATGCAGTTCCTTCTTCCTAGAATGTTCTTTCTTTTCTACTAACCTCTCTTATGACCGTGCCAGGACAAAGATTAACGCCTTTTATCTCCCTTATTCTGTTTATTATGTATAATTTCCCAGAAGATGTAAGGCAACATATAAAAATGCATTGAAAGAAAAACAAAATAATAAAATAAGAACATTTAACCAGGAAGGTTTGCACATATGCAAATTTGAATGAGTAAATCGCTCACTTCTCTGTTAGCACTTTTAAAAACTAGATTATAATGTTGTGATAAAATTATTGTATTTTGTGTATTGTGTTTATTTTCCTTGCTCTAAATTCCCTGAAGGTCAGATATCGTATTTATCTTTGCATCCCTGGTATCTGGCACAATAATAGGTATGCAATCAGTGCTCAATATGTGTTTGCTAAATCAAATTAAAGTGAATTTTCTAAGAGGTGTTCTGAAAAGTTACTGACCTTTGTTCTGCCTCCTGGTGAACATGAACATTTTTATGTTGATGCAACATTAGTTTTATGGTCATATTGACGATGTCACTGTATACTGCCTCTTCCAGATCTTTTCTAAATATTGACATCACAATAGTCACATTTTCAGTTTTGTGAAATGGAATGCACAGGCAGTAAAAATAGGATAATGTGATTATAGCTGTAACTCAGATGGTCAGCATACATTAACTGCTTAGGTTGCATAGAGTATAAATGTATTCACAAAATTTTGATCATTGTTTTGTGCTAGTTAGAATCATATAAAAATTCGGAGCCTTAGTCTTTAATTAAAAATGTAACCATTTTGCCCAGTTGGAGTGGCTCAGTTAGTAGGTTGCCAGTTCAATTCCTGGTCAGGGCACACAACTAGGTTGTGGGTTCGATCCCTGGTTGGGCATGTATGGAAGGCATCCAATTGATGTTTCTCTCTCTCATCAATGTTTCTCTCTCTCTCTCTCTCTCTCTCTCTCTCTCTCTCTCTCTCCCTTTCCCCTCTTTAAAATCAATAAAAATATATTTAAAAATGAATATAATCATTTTAACTTAGTGTTTTATACTTGCAAGACTTTCTAGACAACACAAGACAAATTATAGGTGTCATCTAATATTATACAACTCATGTATTTGCTGGCTTCTCGGTTCTAATTTGGTGTGAAGGAAAGTGATAGTGTATTAATATGTTTAAAATTTTCTTTTTCTTAAAGATATAATTTTAATTTTTCCGTCTCAGACCATGGCTGCAGCTCATCACAACGGACACCTGTTTTCTTTACAGTAGACTCTTACTTAGCTAATCAGTGCCTATTCATTAACCTGCCGGAGCCCAGTGGCCTTATAGATAATTTCCTCACCCAGGACAGACATATTACCTTCTCCAGGGGGTTATTTTCTTGTTTGTCAGTTACTGCTGACTTATTGCTATTTAATTGGACAATGATAACATACTTCTTCAAGGTGAAATTAACATAAATATTCTTTATGTGTGTATCCGCTGCTGCTTTGATTCCTATGAATGCCACAGAAAATAATAGGGAAGCTTTAAGAGGCATTTTTCATGGCTTGGATTTCCTTTTCTGGATGTGCAGAAAATTGCTATCATAAAATTTCACATGCTGCTGATTGACCAACCATTAGATACATTCTTGTGTAAGTAAGATTAGAAAGGACGGGAAAAAGTGGAATTTTAAAATCGCAGCCCTTGCCGGGACCGGTTTGGCTCAGTGGATAGAGCGTCGGCCTGCGGACTGAAAGGTCCCGGGTTCGATTCCGGGCAAGGGCATGTACCTTGGCTGCGGGCACATCCCCGGTGGGGGGTGTGCAAGAGGCAGCTGATCGATGATTCTCTCTCATCGATGTTTCTAACTCTCTATCTCTCTCTCTTCCTCTCTGTGAAAAATCAATAAAATATATTAAAAAAAAAAAAAAAAAAAAAAATAAAATCGCAGCCCTTAAGCTATCGTTGCATGCCAGCCAGGCAGCGCAGGGGCAGCTAAGGAGTTGGTAAATGTGCACCTCACTGGTCATTAGCAGACTCAGTGAGCGGGGCTTCTGTTGGCCTCTGTTTCTTACAACAAGTAGTAATTGTCCATAAGACCATGTTTCTGGATCTTTAAAAATTGTATTTTAGAAGTAAATAATAGGTAAGTAAATCAGAGAGAAGAGTCAGGATGAGCTAAAGCAGTAAAAAAAAAAAAAAAGGATTAAAATAAGAGTTTGTGGAGAATTTGGTAAATACCTATCTATTTCTTAACAAGAACCTATTGGGAAATGAAAAGCCAATATTGTCTATCCTAGTTTGATAAACTAGGTTGAAAACAAGTTTTTCCCTTAGGAAAATCATCATTTTCATGGAAAATATTTATCAAATTATATTTATTCAGAAAATGTTCATGGGAAAGACTTTTAAAGAACATAAAGAAAAAAATCCATAGAAATGTAACTTTTGAGAGGCTTAGAGATCATTATACTTAAATACATAATAGACCAGCACCCTGGGTGGTATACCCTGTTTCCCCAAAAATAAGACAGTGTCTTATATTAATTTTTGCTCCCAAAGATGTGCTAGGTCTTATTTTCAGGGGATGTCTTATTTTTCCATGAAGAAGAATATGATACACATTTATTGTTAAATGAAAATAAAGGAAATTTATTACCTGTATATGGTACAGTAGTAGGGTAGTTGTCAACACAAACCAGACAAACTGTGAATCCTACAATATCAAGAATTTACTCATTTATTCAATGACAATCATGTCATCATCTTCTGGAACATTATCATAACAATCCAATTCCTGAATTTCCTGGTGAATTTCTTGTGACTCCATTTCTTTCAGAATCAGTGGACCAAATCTCTCATGTGTAGCAATAGCACTGTCTTTAAATTAGTACTTCTTGTCAAGGTAACCTGTTCGCAGTGCATTTGCAATGCAACTGTCAGTGATTTTCTCCCATGAATTCTTCACCCAAGTCACAACTTCTTGCAGTTTAGGTTTCACAAAGTTTCTAAGACAGAGCCTGGGAGGGCTAATTTTCGGGGGGATGCCTTATATTTCACTCAGAAGGAAACCTGTAAGTAGGTCTTATTTTCGGAGGATGTTTTATTTTCGGGGAAACACGGTACTTAGTGGTTAGAGCATCAGCCTGCTCACTGAAGGGTCACAGTTTATATTCTGGGGCAAGGGCATATACCTGGGTTGTAAGTTGGATTCCTGGCCATGGTCAGGGCTCATGCAACCAATCAATATCTCTCATGTTGGTGTATGTTTCCATCTCTGTCTCTCTGTCTTTCTATCTCTCTGTCTCTTGCTCTCTCTCTCTTTCTCTTCTACTCTCTAAAAATCAATGGAAAAAAATATCCTCAGGTTAGGATTAACCATAATAGGCCAGCATTTGGGAAGTATAATAGGATTGTGCCATTTTATTCTTTCAGCAATAAATGCAAATGGCCTCTGTGATGAGTCCAGGTCCACCTTCCATCTGGGTGTCACTGGGAAAACCTGCTCATTGCACTCAGGGCTGCTCTTATACATCGGGGTTGACAGTAATGAGGGTGGCTGACATTTATAAACTGAGAATGTACTATGAAGAACCAAACTCAACTTTTAAGCATGTTTTTGTAGTTTGGGACTGGATTGTCTACTGAAGCACAGGCTTGCTGTGCTCTTTGTGAAGTATAGCAGTTTTTCCTTTTAAAAGAAAATGTAATGACTCATAGTTCCTATGTTCTAGAATGTGCAAACATGCTCCTGTTCATACAGTCTGCTTATGGTGGTACTGATATTGGTCATTATTTACATATATACATATATAACACATACGTATATATACATATATAACATATGTATGTATGTATGTATGTATGTATGTATGTATTCCCCCCCCAGCTTTCACCTTTCAGATCGAAGGCTAAAATTATCATCATCTGATTTTTCTCATCCAGATCTCTTCATTTTGTATACTATTTTGCGGGAGTGTGATCATTCCAATGGATTTCTTTTTAGCTTTGGCCCAGAGCCTATAGACATTCCCAGGGTTATTCCCGGTTTAGTCTTGCTAACATTTGTACAGTAGTTTACCATGGATAAAACTCTTACATGGTCACTTAGCCTTTGACAACCCGCATTAGACTCTGCTAACCCCGTATGTTTTTCCATAAGTTTAGTTTGGATTATGTGCCTTAGGCATTGCACTCTCCTTGCTCACAATTAAGTGTGTCTCTTCCATTACTTGCAGCTACTACTGCGTACACACCTTCCTGTATTTTAACCCTGTGTAAGCTTTATGTTTCCCCACCTGAAGAGCTTTGGGTCATTTGCAGATCTGGAGGTTTCAGTGTATACAAGAGCCCAGCACTGATCTCCCCAAACCCCTTTGCTTCCATTTCTGCAACCAGAGAGGTACCCACCTCCTCCTGTGTGTATATTGCATGCCATTGAGTTGGCTCCGACTCTTGGAGACCCTTTGAATGAGTGTGTTCACAGTGTCTTGTCCTCACCATCCCTGCTCAGCTCCTCTAGACTCATGTCTAGTTCTCCTGTTCCAGAGTCAGTCCATTCCATATTTGCTTTTCCTCTTTTCCTGCTGCCTTCAATTTTTCCAAGCATTGCTGTCTTCTCTTATTGTGTTCCAAGTAGTACAGCTTTAGTTTTATCATTTTTTTTAATTAGGCTTAATTTGCTCATCTTCCAGGCAGTCCAGAGTTCATAGAGATTTTGTCCAACATATTTCAGATGAATCCGTTTTTGTTTTTTTTTCCCTATCAGCCTTCTCCACTGTCCAGTTTTCTCATCCACGTGTCGTCATTGGGAACACGAGGGTGTGGTGAGCTGAGCCGTGGTCTCTAATGACACATCTTTGCTCTTGATGACTTTCCCTCATTCTTACGCTCCTGCTCTTTCAAGTCTCAGTCTTCTCTTGATTTCTTGGCTGCAGTCTCCATTTTAAAAATCTTTTATTTTTTAATTTTTATTGGATTTATGGGGATGACAGTTAATAAAATTGTATAGTATTCAAGTGTGCTCTTTATTTGAATTGATGCCTAAACCAAGGTAAGCAAATTTTTTAACAGTTTCAATGTCTTCAGTTCTATTCCTTCTTCCTTTACTTAAATGTGAAGCACCACTACTAGCATGTCCTGTGGAAACTTAATTTTTAATAGTCGTATTTTGGTTTTTAAAAACCTAAAGGAAATGATTGCCTTTGTTGTAGGTTATGCGGAGAACCACCCTTTTTTGCAAGCTCAGAAGAGAGGCTTTTTGAGTTAATAAGAAAGGGAGAGCTGCGTTTCAGTGACCCAGTGTGGGACACCATAAGTGATTGTGGTAATATAGATTTTTATTGTTTCCTAAAGCAAATATATGTAACATAAGAAGGTATGCTAGTAATTCAGATACTTTAACTTCCTGTTTAGTCTTTAAATTTATTTTGTAGAAATAACGCTGTTTACTTGTGGAAATAGTGGTATCTTCACTGTAATTGTTACAGTCAAAACTTCCAATTAAAACAGAATATACTGAGTGAAAATCCAGGAGGAAATTTGCTGATTATCTAGTTAATTTTTACTGTATAATAAAGAGGCAATATGCACATTTTTTCCCTCACACCCTCACAAGATGGCTGCCTACAACCAGCTGGCCAGGGGGGGTTAGTGAGGGATGACCAAATGACGCAACAGCAGGCTGCATGGGATGACCAGGTCAGTGGGGAGGCTTTGAGGGGTGACCAGGCTGCTGGTGGTGGTGGTTGGGGGGGGGCAGATAGGGGTGACCAGGTCAGCATAGAAGGGCATTTTGAGAAAACCAGGCTGGCAGGGAGGGCAGTAAGAGGCAACCAGGTTGGTGGAGGGGGGGGCAGTTGGGGGTGACCTGGCCAGCAGCAAGGGGCAGTCAGGAGTGACCAGGCCAGCAGGGAGGGCATGTAGGGGCAATCAGGCCTGCACACAGAGGCAATGAGGGGCTGGCAAGTGGTGGGGGCAGTTACGGGGTGACCAGGCTGGCAGACAGGTGAACAATTAGGAGCCAGCAGTTCAGGATCGTGAGAGGGATGTCTGACGGCTGGTTAAGGTCCAATCCTGGGCAGTCAGACATCCTCTGTGGGGTTCCGGATTGGAGAGGGTGCAGGCTGGGCTGAGATCCCTCCCCCCAGTGCACGAATTTTGTGCACCGGGCCTCTATTAGAATATAAACCAGATAATCTAGGTAATAAAACCTCACTATAGACCTTACACTTTACTTCTTAGCCATTTATACTGATGATATTTGTTTTATAATTGGCATCTTTTCTTCATGTCATACAGACCTAATTCTGAATAAATTGAAAATTGTTATTAATTGCAATTAAGATAAATAAGATATTCAGGAGTTTCCTTTATTTGCAGCTAAAAGTGTTTTGAAACAACTTTTGAAAGTAGATCCTGCTCACAGAATCACAGCCAAGGAACTGCTAGATAACCAGTGGATAACAGTAAGTTACAGTAGTACTTTTTTCTTTTGGATATTCTATCATTGCTTCTTTCTTTTCTTTGGCCTTGTAGCTTATATATCATTTTTCTAAAAAATAATCAATCTGTCTCATCTTCTAATTAGTTAAAAAAAAAAAAGGACACATTTCTGAAATGGGTATTTTTCCAACTGCTAAAACTACTACCACAGTAGTTAATATATGTTTATAGAAGTTTAAATGAACTTTTGCTTCATGCCATGAAGATAATCAAGTCCAGTAAGGTAGAGCTGAGAGGTGTCCATTATTAAACTGTGGAACATGGAAGTGTCTGTGTGGTCTGTAAAGCACTGGAACCACCACCCACTTCTCTTCAACTCTTTGGATGCAAAGAATCTTCGGGGTCTCAGAAAAGCCAACGTCTCTTAACAGTGGCTGTTGCCCAGCTAGAAATCCTGAGTTACCACTCATTTATATATTTCTTTTTCCCCATTGGACTGAATGCCTTGACCTGGTGTCTTACCTGATCTTTGTATCCCTGCACCTAGAACATTACCTGGTTACTATAGGAACTTTGGAAGAGGCCACTACTTAGCTCTCAGTATTTATTCTCTCTGTCTTCTGTGGTAACAAAGATCCTGACTTTTATCTGGAAACATTGCTGTCTGGTGTTCTTTGCTGGTTAGCCTGTCTTTGCTGGTTGTTGTGATGGCCGATGAGATCTGAGTGGAAGCAGATGCAGTTTCTGAGAAGCGTTTTAAATGAAGGGACTATGGCATTCCTCATGCCTGTCTTCTTTCCTGGAGACTGGAATGCAGATGTGATGGCTGGAGTGTGAGTAGCCATTTTGGACCATAAAGCGGAGTCCATAAGCTGAGGATGGCTGAGCGACACGATGCAAGGAATGGGGCTTGCAGCTCATGCAGCTGCCCTTCCAGCCTTGACCACCTCCCTCCAGACCTCTTTCTGTGAGCAGGCAACAAGATTCTGTCATCTTTAAGACACTGCAAAGTGTGCAATTGAATCTAATACCCATTAATACAGTATCAAAAATTGCTGCGTGCGGCAGTGACTCAGTAAATGGATTAGTCTGGAGGTATCTCAGAAAATGTCTAGGAACTGAGACTGGAGATTTGTCAAGAGATTTGTCAATAGGAATATTGCTGGGCCGTAATCATCTATGAAAAACATTTTTTTACATCCTGTTACTTTGTTAGACAGTTTGTTAGGTACTGGAAATATGTGATATACCCATGTTGCAGTAGTAATTATTGTTGAGAGATGATGGTGGCTTAAACGGGATGGTAGCAATAGAGTTGAAGAGAAATTAATGTGATATATATATATTTTTTTAAGTATATTGATTGACAGGATTTGGCGATTGATTAGATGAGAGATGAGCAGAAGGGAGGATTCAAGGATGACTCCTAGATTTTACATTAACAGTTGGTTGGACGGTAGTGCCACCAACTGAGATGTTGAAGATTGTAAGAAAAATAGGGTTTTGTGTTTTTTGGTTGTTTTTTTTTTGTTTTGTTTTTTGTCTGGTGGAAGGGTGGTGACTCAAGAATTCCACATTAGCTTTGCTAAGATTGAGATGCCTGTGTCGCATTCACATAGATATATCAAAATTGAATACCTGAGTCTGGAGCTGGAAAAGTCTGATCTGAATCTATAGATATGGGAATCGAAAGGATATAGATGCCATATAACATGCTATCAGGTGAAGAGAGAAATTGGGAAGAAAATATGGGTAGAAAGGAAAAGAGACCCCACCACCCTGCTTTTTAGACACTCCATCATTGAGAAGAGGAGGAGCTAGTAATGGAGGCTGAGAAGGAGCAGCTGGTGAGGGAGGAGGGAAATTCTGAGAGGGGTATTAAGAAAGTTATGTGGGAAAGATGTTTGAAAAAGAAGCAAGAGCAGGTAGCTTGCAAATAAAGGCTGCAGAATGGTTAAGATGAGAACGAGAAGTTTCCATTGAAATGACCATCAGAGAGGTAGATGGTGACCTGAAGGCCCAAATAAGTTTAGATACCATATCGCTCTTCTTTTAAATTTTCTCATTTTCTTTTGGCAATTTCTAATCATTTCTTTGAAGAACATTTTTTCCTCCAAGGGCTAAAAAAATAGTCTTCACTCAAAAATGGGTTATATCTGCCCTCTCTAATGACTATGTTGATCTCTCAAATCATTCTGTGCAACACATATTTCTGGCCTAAGTAATTGTGCAAATGAGCTAGCAGCTAAATAGATCATTGCAAAATGTACCGAGTAGATTTGTGGTACAGCAAAATCAAAAACTGTAAAACAGATGGTGTGCCTTCGAATCTATCTCTTTTCAGCATCACACAACATTCGGGTTTGGCCATGTAATTATTTGTGTTCTAATTAGTACAGCTTTATTTCTGGCTTTGGTCATTTTTCCAGAAGTCTCCATTTTTGAGCCTCTGTAACATTTGTTTCAATGAAGTCTTTGCCAAGTGGTTAGGGAAGCGACAGATAGTGTGTACTATATCGAACTATCCTAAGGAGTTCAGTGTCTGAAGTTTAGAATTCCAGCATTTTATAAACTTCTAAAAGGCAACACTCTTTTCTTCTTAACCACTTGAAGTCTTACTTCCTGTAATTCATATCCTGTGTTTGAAATAATCTAAAGGGAACCTGTCAGTTCTCTCAGTGCCTTGCTGCTTTATAACTGGAGCTTATCTTTTGCAATATCTAACACATTGAAACTTTTTCTTTTCAAAGAGCTTTATCAGATAAAAAGTTTCTAGGGTTTAACTTATGTATTGTCCGTTTTGAAGTATGGAACATATCTGAAGAGTATTCCAAGGAACGTTGTTTCTCTCTGTACGTTTAAGTGAATGGAACTTAAAATAAACACATATTGTCATTCTGATTTCAAAAATCGAAAGATTAGATGTAAGCAAAAATGCCAAGGGATGACTTTCCTACAAAGGAAAGTTTGATGATAACTGGCCTGGCCAGGAGTGTGCCTGTCACCCTCCTGCATCTGCTTCTTCCCTTTGTCTCCTTACTCTCAACAGTGGTTCAGGAGTGTGTTCCCTCTTATTAGATAACTAGAGGCCTGGTGCATGAAATTCGTGCACTGGGGTGGGGGTCCCTCAGCCCGGCCTGCCCTCTCTTACAATCCAGGACCCCTTGGGGGATGTCCGACTGCTGGGACCTAAACTGGCAGTCAGACATCCCTCTTACAATCTGGGACTGCTGGCTCCTAACCCCTCACCTGCCTGCCTGCCTGATCACCCCTAACCACTTGGCCTGCCTGCCTGATCCTCCCTAACCGATTCTGCCTTAGCCCCTGCCACTGTGGCTTTGTCTGGAAGGTCGTCCAAAAGGACATCCAGAACATCTGGAAGGTTGCTCAGCTGTCCAGTCTATTTAGCATATTACACTTTTATTATTATAAATTTTAGGTGCCTCTTGGTATTCCTGTAAGTCCCCTGGTGACAGCTAGCACTAAAAATTTTAAACAAGATTTCCAGATATTTCTATCTATCTATCTATTTAATTATTTATTTGTTTGTTTGTTTGTTTTTAAGAATATATATTTTATTGATTTCAGAGAGCAGGGGGGGAGAGAGAGAGAGAGAGCGAGAGAGAGAGAGAGAGATGAGAGATAGAAACATCAATGATGAGAGAGAATCATTGATTAGCTGCCTTCTTCACACCCTCTACTGGGGATTGAGCCTGCAACCCAGGCATGTGCTCTTGACTGGAATCGAACCCAGGACCCTTCCGTCCACAGGCTAACACTGTATTCACTGAGCCAAATCAGCTAGGGCTTTCCTAGGCATTTTTAATGCCTACTTATATTTAAGAACCCTCCTGTAGATTAAGGAAACAGTTTTCTTCTATATCTTGTCAAGACGTAGTTTCCAGATTTGAGCTCTATTGGTATTTTTCAGATAGTAATTCCTTCAACAGATTATTTTTGATGCCTACCATGTGCCAGTTGCTGTGCTAGGCAATAGAATGTTGTTATAGACGTATAGGACTGATCTCTGACATAGAAATTCACAATCTAGTAAGGAAACAAGTTATGTATAAGATACAATGCAAGGGAGAAATGATAAATGACATAAGAAATTGCCAAATGACCAGAGGTACAGAGACAAGCAAGTATGAAATCAGGAATTCAATTTGACAAGCAAATAAGATGCTTGAAGGGGAAAGAAGTGGGAAATGAGACTTTTAGAAAAGGAAAGAAAATTGTGTGGGGACTTAAATCTCAGACTAGAATTTTAACTTCCAGTCATACATATATAGTGGAGACCAATTGTAGGTTCTTTGAAATGAAATTATTGTTATAGTGTATAAGCCTTCCAAGATGGCTTATTTTAAATGGGACAAGAGTCATTTAAATGTCTATGTTGATTTTAATAGGTATCTTTTTATTTTAATCTGTCGGACACTGTAGGGGTACAAAGATGAATAAAATAGTCTCCCTCAAATTACAGGGTTCTTTGCTTTACAGTCACACTTTGCAAAGGCACATGTTCTCAGGATGTAGAGGATCTAAACTTTAGAATAATCTTTCCTAATATGTGTACAAGGCCCTTGTTCGTTGATTTTAAAATTGTTATTCATGATTTGGTCATTAGCTTTTGAACTTTAGCCTTAACATATACACTGAGTGGCAAGGTTACTATGACCACCCCATCAGTATTTTGTTGGGCCACCTTTTGCCTTCAATACTGCGGCGATTCTTCTTGGCATTGACTCCACGAGATGTTGAAAGGTGATTCAAGGAATCTGACACCATGTCAGATGAATAGCACTGTCCAGTTCTGTGAGATCTGATGGTTGTGGAATCAGCTGCCTGATGGCTCTTTTAACTTCGTCCCACAAATGCTCAATTGGATTGAGATCTGGTGATTGTGGGGCCACCTAAGCAAGGTAAAGTCTCCCTCATGTTCTTAAAACCACTCCTGCACAATATGAGCACCATGGCATGGCGCATTGTCTTGTTGGAAGAAGCCATCTCCATTGGGATATGCCATCAACAAGATAGGATGAACTTGATCAGCAGTGATACTTAGGTATATTGTGCTATTCAGACATTGTTCCACACGAATTAAAGGGCCTAAATCATGCCAGGAAAACATGCCCCAAACCATAACACTGCCCCCACCAGCTTGACGGGTTGTACTCATGCATGTGGGGTGTTAGAACAGGCCTTCAGCTTCCATATCTCATACGATGCAGTGTTCAGCTAATTTGCCTACAAACGTCAGGTGGTCATAATAATCTGGCCACTCAGTGTATATGCTATATAAGCAAATGGAAATTTTCTGATGTGTAACTAATTGATGGATATGATTTCCTACTATATATTTTTATCCTAAATATGTTAATACTCAACTTTTATTTTACTATACTTAGTTATTCTTAAATTCTGAATTATCCTATGTAATAAAACCCTAATATGCAAATCTATCTATCGAAAGGCAGAACGACTGGACACTATGATACGCACTGACCACCGCTTTATTGAGCGTCTGCGCATCTATTCCATGAGAGGGACACGACTGGCAGTGGCAATCGGGGGCGGGGCCAGCCAGCAGGCAGTGCCAGGCTGCCAACAAAGGCGGGTGACAACATGGCCCCCGATTACCCTGCCCCTCAGATGGCTGTGATTGCTGACCAGGCCTGGGGACCCTGCCCTCTAAATGGGGAACAGTCTCTTAGATTTAAAAATTAAAACCTGGCAATGCTACTCTAACACTGGAAAAACAGGGTGATACAGTGATGACATGCATGGACTCTGGCTTGCACATTTTGTGGTCAGCCCTGATTCTGACACTTATAACTATGTGACAAAGTCAATTACTTAACTTCTCTGCTTCAGTTTTTCCACCCATAAGATGGGGGAAATGGTGCCACTGCCTTAGAAGGATCATGTTATGTGCTACTTTTTATAATCAGGGCAAAAAATGCAGCCTCCCATACAACAGCCAGATGCCTCTCACCTGTATGAAAAGCATGGTCATTGGTGCATGCAGCATCCTGGATTGTGAAGATTCTGACTGCTGGAGGTTTAGGTCCAATATCCCCTGAGGAGTCCCAGATTGTGACAGGGCACAGGCCGGGCTGAAAATATGAAGTTTATTGGCAGTTCTGCTTTTCCAGAACCTGGAAGACATGTAGGGGAGTTGTGGGAAACTCAGTGGGATCACAGGCAGAGTTTTCTGTGGACCTGAGCTTACATAGAGAGGGCTTTATATCTCACTTGTTTTGACAGTGTGTCACTACTGAAAGACACTGAAGTCCCAGGATCGTAGTTGAGTTTACATGAATTTTCTTTTTTGTCTCCCTCAACCCGGAAGTTCCTTTGTTCTCTTTTCCAAAGTTTGTAGCTCACTCACAGCAATGTGCCAGAGTTCTAGTTCTGCCTTGCATCTTCTCAGAGCCTCTTGTTGTCAGTATTTTAATTGAGACACTCTGGCAGGTATGCAAGGGCATCTCTTTGTGATTTTTAGTCTGCATTTCATGGGTTACAAATTAAACCGGTCACCTTAATTATGCTAATTGGCCTTTTTTATATCCTCTTTTGCAAAATGCCTGTTCTATTAATAGTATTTCCCCCATTTTTCTGTTTGGTCTTATGTCTTTTACTTCTTGATTTGTAGAGATTTGTTGCATCGTCTAGATATAGGCCTTCTGTCACACACAAATATATGTGCATTCACAAGCATTGGAAGATACTGACTTAAAAGAGCAAGGAAAGGATTACTGCAAATCCTCACCCAAGCAGATGACTTTTGGAAAGGAACAGATCATTGGAAACGCAGGGTCTTGGAATTGATCCCTGCAAACTGTACTTCCTAGATGGCCCTCAGAACGTCTCCATTTGCAGCCAGATGCCCCCACACACCAATTTGAGGAGTTTTTGTTTGGAATATATTGAGTTGCCTTTTATTTTTCCAGTATTATTAAAATGTAATTGACATATAACATTGTAAAATTTAAGGCGTACAAAATAATGACTTGATAAATGTATTTATTAGGGAATGATTACCACAATCAGTTTAAATAATACTTCTGTCATATAACAGTTACAGGGTTTTTTTTTTTCTGGCAATGAGAACTTTTAAGATACACTCTCTGAGCAACATAGCACATGCCATACAGTATGGAAGGCTCAGCAACACCTCCAGCTAGAAGTTCTTAACAGGCAATTGAAAATGTGCTTTTGGAATAATGTCAAATTACTAAATTTCTCAGGCTGTTCCCTCCTGAAGAATAGGAATATCAACACCTACCTGTCTACTCGTGTAGTTGCTATGCTTGGGGGGGAGGGGGGAAATCAATGACTTGAAAAATGTTAAAGTGGCATACAGTTGCTTACTTTAGTGGTTGTTATTACCTTGATATGCTGTTGCCTTGGCCTCATCGAGACCCATGAGGGCATGTTTGGTGATTTTATTGGGTGCTATCAGTTCTTTGCGGGTATCTACAGCTTACATTATTTCTTTTCCTACTGTAATTTACATTAATTATTAGTCATATAAAATAGTTTAAATTAACCATGGTAAATTATTTAAATGGTAAATAAAACAGAAAAAATAACTTTCTCCTTCCATTAACTTCATTCCCTCTTACTAAAGGTAACTGCTGTTAAATCTCTTATGTGTTCTTTCAAAAACATCCTGCTCATTTTGTTTATGTACTTTACCCAAATGGATTCATATTATGCAAACTATTCTTTTTTATCCAATATATCTTGGGAATATTTTCTTATTTAAAAAAGAAAACACCCAGCATTGTATTATTTTTTAAATAATCCCCAGTGAATATACTAGTAGATCATTTAAATTGTTTCATATCTTTCCTATTACAAACAGTGGTACAAATAAATGTCCTGGTGGTACAAATAAATGTCCAATGTGGCTCAGTTGGTTGGAGTGTTGTCCTGTACCCTGAAAAGTTGTAGATCTGATTACGAATCAAGGAACATACCTAGGTTGTGAGTTCTATTCCTGGTCGTGGTGCATTCAGGAGGCAGCGAATCTTTGTCCTTCATGTTGATGTTTTAATTTAAAACATTAGAAATATTGAGAATTAAAGAATCTTAATTTTTGGTAAAAAAAACACACTCACAATTTATCAAGATTAGCTTAAACAGTGCTTGCCTCTTGTCATAAAACTTACAGTACAGAGGTGAGCATCTTTTTTATGCCTTGGCAAATTGTCATACTGTTTTCTAAGTTTGGTTCAACTTCTAACATTTTATCTTTTGTGCTTTCAGTGTTTAGAAATATCTCTGAAAATTCTTTCTCTGAGGCAAATTCATCCTTTCTGTCACAACCACTTTCCCATTTATGCTGATAAGTTGCCTTCACTAAGTTCCTTTGGTTGCGTATCTGGTTCTCTCAAACGGTGCAGTGTCATCGTCCCCATGGTCGGCAATTCTTCTGTTACTCCATTTGCACTTGGTTCGGGTTTCACTCCCAGCATCATCACCTTTAACTTCTTTACTGCACTTCCATCCTTGTTGATAAGTTCCCTGGAAGACAATGAGATACCTAGTCTAGCAGAAGCATTTGAGACTGCATGCATGGATTTCTTGGCGTTAAATAAAATATTATATTTGAGAAAAACTGGGTAATATAAAGTAGTCAATTTTGGTATTGTGTTGTCACATCTGGGATAAAAACAATGCACTGAATCAGTTATAAATCAGTTGACCACCTTATATCTAAATCTCCAAGTCAACTAAGAGCTTTCAAATCAAACATCTATATTCTTGGACACAGCACCTGCCTAATCGACTGACGTTAGGTTTTTTTTACCTGGACATTTTGGTATTCTATAGGCTTATCCCTAGAGTTGGACCCACTAGACCTTGAGGAACTTCTTTCATCCTTTTAGCTTCCCTTTACTTGTGTAAGGATGGGCTGTCAGGAGGTCTTTGAGTCCAGAGAGTTGCCCTGTCATGTCTTTTCACACAGGAAGAGTGTTCCAACAGGTATCACCAGTTTTGCCATTTATTCAGCATTATAGTTTTTCTACGTGACTTACAGAATCTGGGAGAATATATTACTAAAAGATTAAGACTCCTTTGAATTTTCCAAACTGTTTATAACACCCAAAATCATTGTTGACATTAGGGCAATAGACTTTCTTCGATGAGACCTACCAATGTATTAGAAATGATGAAAGAATGGAAAAATATTCCAGACAGTGATGAGGAAAGCACAGAAGATCCAAAGAACATGCTGTCCAATCAAGGAAAGTTGGAAGGTTACCTGCTCGACATACCCAGCAAAGATGTCCAGGCTGTCTCTAGCGCTTCAGAAGAAGAGGAGGTAAAACAGGTAGGAAGAACCAACAAAACCAATAGGAAGAACAGTTGTTTCATTTCTCCAACTCTGTCCTTTTTGTTGTTGGTTTGCAATGAAGGCCCACATGATAAAGCAAGTAAAGTTCTTGTTTGAAACTATCATGATTTAGCAAAGTGGCCAAAATGTTTATTTTCAGACCTCTGATTATATAGGGCAGGATCTGCAAAGGCAGAGAAATAAATGCTTTAGCCGTGGGAGCCAGGAGAGTCTCTGTCGCAACTTCTCAACTCTGATGTTGTAGCATGGAAACTGGCTCAGGCAATTTTAGACACAAACAGAATCAGGTGGTGTATCAGGTTTGGCCCATGGTTCAAAATGAATGATTTTTTTACTTTACCAAGCTACACAGTTTAGAATGAGTTTATGTATTACCTAGAAAAAGAGTTGTTACATTATCCAGTTAATTGTTTCTAATTTATGATACCTAAAACCATGTAGGGTTATCATTTTACTTTGTTAGATCTAAATATAGTCTTATGGTTTTTGGTGAATAAAATTTCACAACATTTTGATTAATTCTAGATTGCATTCTATTAACTGGATATCCTGACAATTTACCCAAACGGTGTTCTGTGTTTGTGGGAAAGTTTTCTGTATGTTCGTTTTCTTTCTTGTCTTGAAACCCAGTGAGCACATTGTAGCTCTTCTTTAATCATTGAGCATCCTTGCATGGGGGGCTGCTCATCTTGGGGCGGCCCAGACTTCCTGTGAGGAATTGCTGCTGTTGGGTTCTCTGAGGCCCAGAGCTGGCAGGGAGGAGAGGGTGAGCCCTGAGGGTGGGGCAGGGCTGCTGGCCACACCCTCCGTGCTGAGAATCCTGGCAGAACCTGGCAGAAAGAGGCCTCGCAAAGTGATGGACTGATTTTGATGTACTGGTTGGGAACTTCTTCATCCACTGGATAGCAAATGTCTAGATAATAAGCTTAACATTTAATGATTCAGGTATTTTGAAATAATCATACTTTTTGCCATAATATAAACATAAGTTTATTGAATTCCCTTCATCCTCTCTAGTCTGTTAACAGCTCCTGTAGTGCTGAGCAGCTGTTTGTATTTTATATTTTTGTTAAAAATAATACTTTAAAAATCATATTTGCATTTCCTTATTGAACATAATTTGAAGATTTTCCTGTTAGTTGGCTTAGCATTTTATACACTACACACAAACACATACACACATATTTACATATTCATAGTCATAGATTACACATATATACTCATATGCACCTACATATTACTCAGATCTATATACAAACACAAAACATATACACACACACATTATCTTTTGTAGTCTTGGATTATATCTATGTTTGTCATTGAATCTGGCATAAAATACCCTTGTGAACCAAATGCTCGGTTATCCTCCATCACCTTTTCCATTGCTCTGTCACACATCTGCCCTCTCCTCCTCCCCCTCAAAGTCACAAAGTGATGGGACTTGCTATACTGTTCTCAGCTACTTCTAACTAGGAACAGAAGAATTGGAATTTGAGGTTGAAATCTGGGTTGAAATTTCAAGAACATAGATTTCAACCTGGGTGGGTAGCTTATTTGTTTACTAGTGGAGCATCATTCCAATACGCTAAGATTGTGGGTTCAGTCCCCAGTCAGGGCACATACAGGAATCAATCAATGGATGCATAAATCAATGGGTGGAACGACAAATCCATGTTTCTCTGTCTCTCTCAAATCAATCAATAAATTTAAAAAAATAGTATAGATTTCTACTCAACAGAAAGAACTTTTCCACTATTAGAACTCACCTGCAGTAGAACATGCTGGGCCATGGAGAGTAAACCCCACCCTCCAATCATTGGAAGTGTTCAGGCAGACTCTGGAAAGCTACTTGTAAATGCTGTAGCAGAAATTCCACCAGGTGGGTAGGACCTTGCCCTGGAAACCAAGGAACCACTAAGGAACTTTCCCATGCTTAGGTTTGGGCTGTGATATCTTTGGGAATTTTTCTGAAAAGTGTCATCCCTTAAAGAATTCTCATTATTAAATCTCCTAAATTTTTTCCCAAGGATTTTTGTGAATAAATATGCTACTTTGTTAATTATATTGAAGTTGAGTTTATGTTAAGAAATTACTTATTTCCTTTCAAATCTTCATTAACAGCAAGTAGTGGTATATAAAGTTCTAAAGTGATAACTAAAAGTAGGGTTGCCTCTATACAGGATTCATAGAGTACTTAATATTCTTAAGAGTGAAATTTTAATTTTGTTTAAATTCATTCTACGAATATTGAAATACTTCCCATGGGAAAATTTTGTTTGTTAAAATTATATTATAGGGACAACTTGATGTGATCATTTGAATAACTTATACCTACTAAATTAAGAAAATATATATGATTTTCTTTCCATTAAAGTATTTACAAGTGGCTTTAATTAAAATGGAAATCTGCCAGCAGTTAGTGCTTTCCTGGAGGATCTGGTACACTGATTTGGAGCTCCTGATTTCTTATTTTCCCTGGCCAGGGAAGTCACCCTTTCTAGATAAGTGGCAGAGCTCCAGGAAAACTAGCAGAGAAAGTGAGGATTTGTTATCAGCAAAAACACTGAACTAAGTGCCCTCCTCTCCCCTGAGGAGCTGCGCCCTGGCTCCCGTTGCCGGGGCCTGTGGAAGAATGCAGTCCCCCCTGCACTGCCCAGGTTCGGCCCTCACTTTCTTAAACTTGTTCTCCAGTGATTGGCCTTTGGTAATATCCTTTCTGTTTTCCTTTTCATTTCTAACTTTTAGCCTATTTAAGTAATGGTATTCACTGAGGACAGATGTATTCTCTCATGTGTAACTTGTGTTTTCCAAGCTGAGTATGTCGAGATCATGTTTTGTGTTATCAGTAACCCTCTGAACTCCCTACAGTGGGTCCTTAATCTGCTCTCTCAGGAAGACTCAAGATTTTAACTCCTGCAACAGCATTACACGTCTTCAAATGAGAGAGTTGGCAAACCACTGCTCCTTGCAGGAGCATGCCTTTTAACATTCCGTCCTTAGTGATTTCTGATAAATAGTATTATACTTTCATTGTTTATTAAGCTTAGAAAACAATTTAAGAGGAACCAATGTTTGCAATGAACATGCAACTATCCCTAATCCCAGAAGGAGGGACCAGAAACTCTGGATGGGTTAGAACCGTGGTCAGCAAACTGCGGCTCGCGAGCCACATGCAGCTCTTTGGCCCCTTGAGTGTGGCTCTTCACAAAATATCACGGCCTGGGTTTGTCTATTTTGAAGAAGTGGCATTAGGAGAAGTTTAAGTTTTAAAAATTTGGCTCTCAAAAGAAATTCAATTATTGTACTGTTGATATTTGGCTCTGTTGACTAATGAGTTTGCCAACCACTGTGTTAGAAGTACTATGTTTTCGTTACAGAATTCTTGTTTCATAAAAGGACATACTTCTTAGTTGTTAAATTACTTGCTGAATGCAGTCAAATATATTTGTTTAGAGAGAATCTTATCATTTTTCTTGTCTGAAAACACCACCTGTACATATCATAGGAGATAGTATCTGTAGCAAATACTTTACCGAGTCTAGGAAGTAGAAAGGATAGAGTAGCTCTTCGAAGACATGAAGTATTTGAATCTAAAAACATTGAAATCAAACAGTTGAGTTATTCTATATTGATATGTTTCTATGAGAAAAAAAGTCAGGTTTTCATATTTTAGTTAAGATAAAAATTTTCTCTTATTTACAAATTAAGTCTTAGCTCTCAGAGCCCATGTCAATCATGTGCAGATGTGATGGTGCTTTCACAACTTGGCAACATTTTTGTTCCCAGATATTGAAGCATTGCCATCTGTTATATATGCCCAAGTGCTGTACTTAATGTATCCTGATATTTAAAAGCACAAGCCTGGGATCTAGGCTGCCTGGATTCAAATCCTGACTTCACCACTTATAAGCTTTATGACCTTGGGCAGGTCTGTAGGCCTCTGTTTTATTTATCTGTAAAATGGGATTAATGGCATCAACCAAGGACTAAATGAAATCTTTCATGTAACACTCTTGACATATGGTAAGCACAGAATAATGTTAACTTGACTTTTATTATTATATTGCTAAAGAACTTGTGTATAATATTACTAAAATTGCATGATTTTTCCTGCCTGCTTCAAGGCTTCTTAGGGTATAGGTGTTGGCATAAACAAATGAGCACACTAAGAATAAGAAATACCATTTTCATAGGTGTTAAGGCGATTCTTCCAACCTCATTTGCCCTCTAGTTTGGTAGGGTCCCTAGGGTACTGGGGTAGATTGCATTATTTCCCCCAATTCTTTAATCCCTCCTGGTGATGGATTATACCTTCACAACCCTTGCCATATGATTTTGCAGCTCTCCCTATTATAGTAGATGAAGGAAATGTTGGTCTGAGCTATATGACTCAGTTTGGCTAATGGAATATTAAGAGGTGTGATGTAAGCAGAGACCTTAAAATTGTTTGCATGATTGAGCTTGCTCTCTTGTATTTCTGCCACCTGCGTGAGAAGAATATGCCTTCGGGGAGCCATAGTTCTCGGAATCATGAAAATTTGCGGGGCAGACCTGAACCAAATACAAAGCCTGAAGTCTAGCCTAGCACAGCCAAGCCCTAGAGCTAAATGAGAAAGATTAATGTTTATTGTTATAAAGTCCTGAGACTTTTATAGTGTTTCTTACGTAGTTGCGCAGAAAAGAGTTAACATAGCAGGCCTAAACTTCTATCTGAACAGGTTTGCTTGCAAGGCTGGCCTTGGCTGCCTTCTGGGAACTTAGAATTGGGGACGGTTGCAACCATTGTCTGATAAGAATGATTCATCATGCCTAAACTGTTTGTACAAATAATATGCTTTCTGCTGAATGCCCACGTTCTCTCTGGAAGTCTGGAATTTTGGCAGGTGCCAGGCAGAGGCTGCCTCCATGACCAGCTTCCAGGAGGAGCCTTGGGTGCTAGGAGAGCTTCTCTGTTTGGCAACATTTCACATGTGTTG